TTTGGAAACCAAACAGTGTGAAGGAGAGAAGTACTATTTAGGTTGTACTCGCACCTCTCAGAATTTGATGGGAGTCATTCTTTTTTAAAAGATTTTATTTATTTATTTATTTGAGAGAGAGAAAGAACACGTGAACAGGGGGAAGGGCAGAGGGAGAAGGAGAAGGAAAGAATCTCAAGCAGATGCTGCGGCTGAGCAAGGAGCCTGACTTGGGGCTCCCATCTTATATCCCTCAGATCATGACCTGAGCCGAAGGCAGACGCTTAACGACTGAGCCACCCAGGCGCCCCTGATGGGAGTCATTTAATTGTCAACCTGGGTGGCATCCTCAAAGATGTTTTTTTCTAACCTTCTCAGTTTACAGGTGAGAGGAACTGAGGCCCAGAGGAGCCAACAGAGTTGGCCATGATCCTACCAGGACAGAGATTCCTTCCCCCCATGTGGTCTCTTCCCATCGTGCCTCTTAAACTTGGCTTGACCAGCGTGAGGGGGGTGATGTGGGCGGGGGGGCACCAGAACAGTCTCTGAAGTGGATCCTATCCTGACATATGGACCTGATGGTGCTTTGGAGGGCAGGGAAGGGAACATGAGTGCACCACCGTCTTATGCTTTCCTCACTCACCTCCATCTATAAAGGGGTCCACTGATGGCAGACCCAGAGGCCAGGCCAAGGCGCGTGCGTGAGAAGAGCCTCCTGGCCAATGCAGACATCCGTGTGGGCTTTAACGCTGCCTGCCACTGAGGTTTGCGAGCGGGACACCAGTGGCTGCCCCCAGGTGAAGACAGCGCTGCGAGGAGCGCGGCCACCACAGAGGGGGAGGCGTGTGGCCGTGGCGATGGTGAGCAAGGGGAGGACTGCACATGTCCCTGGGGCTTGCATGCAGGCGGCTGAGGCTGGGCACTGCAGGGCAGGAGCCCGAGCTCCGTCCAATTCCGAGCAGGTTTGACCATGGGGGAGCCTACATTTTAGGACATTGGTTAGTGCCCCTGTCCCCAGAGGGGCCTGGCTGACTGAAGGTCAGGGGGAACAGGTGACTTCAGAGGCAGGTGGGGGG